ATTGATTGCTTCTGTGGACAGGTCTCTTTTATACAGGTAACGAGCTGAGAGGGCTCCCAATGTCAGCTCGTTACCTGTATAAAATACACCTGGGAGCCAGAGATCTTGCTGACTGATAGAGGATCAAATACTTATTTCATTCATGAAAATGCAAATTAATGTACAACTTTTTTATAATGCATTTTTCTGGATTTTTTTGTTATTGTTGTGTCTCTCACTGTTCACATAAACCTACCACTGAAATTGTTAACTGATCATTTCTTTGTTAGTGGGCAAACTTACAAAATCAGCTGGGGTTCAAATAATTTTTCCCTGACTGTATATAGTTCAGGGATTGTGGATGTGTGCTCTGTGTTGCTGTGTTTCCTAGCTGATTTATAATAAAATAGTGGCTTCCAGAGAGTGCAGCAAAGGCAGTCTGTCCTCTGGCTACTTATTCCAGTTGGCATCTGTTACATTGTTGTCAGATGTGGAATCTCCAAAGAGATGACATCACTTCAGGAGATCCACGGACTCATTGCCCCACTGGAAAAGGAGGTCATGCTTCCAACCAGAGCAAAATGCCTGACAGCCACATTGAGCTCACTGGGTGCCATGTCATTGCCAAGAGCCCACCAAAGAGAATCCTCTGATAGAGCCCGTGTTCCCCACCAGGCAAGCTGGAAAAGCCAGTCATCACCACCCTGGCTTTGCACAGGCCCAGAGCCAGCACCAGCCAACTTATCCAGAACCACAGGCAGGCCAGCCTGTGCCTGGGGAAACGGGACCAACCCCCACTTTGCTGACAACTTGACCAAGAGGCCCACCATTGGTGCCATGATGGCCAGCAGTCCCGGACAACTCATCTACCCTCAACCTGTCACAGCTGTGGGTCGGCTGCCTGGGCCAGACACATGGGTTGTACCTGGACTGATACTGTGCCTTAGTAGACACAGGGTCCACCATCTCCCTGGTGTGTGTGGGAAGACTGCTGGGATCACAGAAGGGCCAATACCTCAAAAGTCAAGGGCCACCAAGTGTTGTATCACCACAGTCACTGGCAAAAGTGTAAAAGATGCAGGGAGAGAGGACGCTCAAAGAGACTGTTGCTGGCTGCGCAATTAAGCATCGGTTCAGGCTGCCCAGCATCCAAGATCCATGCATCATCAGCATTGATCTGCTGGTGGGGGCCCATCCATCTGTGGTGGATGTGCCTGGGGCTTTGCCTGGGTGCGGATGCCATGGCTGCCCACACTGCCAGTAGGGAAGGGCTGCACCTACTCACTAAGCTGGAGCAGTGTCACATATACTGTATCACTAGGGTCAACCAGTGGCTCCTCTGTGCCTACACCACTTTCCTGGGTAGCATTCATCGAGGCCAGACAAGCCGATGATGGCTTGTGCACGATGAGCTGCAAATGGAACAATTGCTGGCGTGAGTGGTATGTTGAGGACCAGAACGCCTCCACACAACAGATGGCAGCCCCTCAGCACTTTATCCCCACCAGCAGAGGTGGGGACTCCCATGCAGCTCGAAGGGGGGCAACCCAGTGTGTGCACGCTCTCCTGAAACAGGACTAGGTGGCGGTCCCTTTGCCAGCTGCTCCAGGTCACTCAGATTTGAAGGGCTCCTTCTCTCTGCTGATACTGCTCCTTTAGCTGGTCCTGCTGTCACCCTCACACCTCCTTCTACAGCTGGATGCGATGACCCCCCCCCCATCTGTCCCTCGGACAGGCACAGATGCTCCCTTAGGCTGCCTCAGAGGAGAGTGTCACCACCCCCCTACCCCCATCCATCATAACAGCAGCTCAGGTTAGTGAAGAGCTGAGGAGACTCCGCCCCAGCAAAGCAGCCAGCCCAGATGGAGTTTGTCCTAGATTACTCAGGGTTTGTGCTGCTATGCTAGGAGAGCCCTTTCAGCATGTCTTTAACCTGAGCCTGCGACTAGGGAAGGTCCCTGTACTGCAGAAGACATCCTGCCTCATTTCTGTCCCCAAGAAGCCACACCCCTGGGAACTGAACAATTTCAGACTCGTCACCCTGATGTCACACATCATGAAGACCCTGGAGCGGCTGCTGCTACACCACCTCAGACCCCAATTCCACTCTCTCACTTGGACAGAAGGGATGGAGCTGTGGGGATCATGTTTTTTGACTTCTTCAGTGCCTCCCACACCATCTAGCCCCCGCTACTGAGAGACAAACTCAGAGATGGGAGTGGACTCACACCTGGGGTCCTGGATTACAGACTATCTCATGGGGAGACCTCAATATGTCAGGCTGAGGGGCTGCACCTCAGAGATGGTGGTCAGCCTCTGGAAACAGCCCTCTGGACAGTATCCATTCACATTTGAGGAGGAGCTGCTGATTCAGCCCACTGCCATATAGAAGTCCAAAGGATTTGGAGATTAGATCTGTAGAAAGTCTGCATTCAAATAGTTTGTTTGTATGTTTAGAATCTTTATCTGTTTATAGCAAATTTTGAATGAGTGTGGGTGTGTGTGTGGCTGTTTGTCTACATGTCAGCCCTGTGATAGGCTGGTGACCTGTCCAGGGTGGACCCCACCTCTCACCCAATGTCAGCTGGGATTGGCTCCACTGACCCTCTTCAGAATAAGTGGTATTTTTAATTAAATACTGGTTATAAAAGTTTTCCAAATAATTATAATTTCATTCAGTTTTTATTTACAATTTACACAACTTCCCAACTTTGCACTAACTGAAGATTCCGTTATTTCCCAAGCTCAAACACAGTAATGGGACATTGTGACATTTGAACAAGTTTCTTATGGTCAAACTAGAGGCCCCAGACCGAAATTTTTTTTTTTTTGCTTAATAACAGCAGAAACCCCATCCTCCCTCCTGCTTTAAGATATGAATTCATTGGCATGTAAAATTCATCAAGGTAAACATTTATTGTAGGGCCCCCACAGTGCATTGCATTAGGATATACAGTATATACACTATATGATATGAGTAAAAGTAATCTAAATGTATCTGACACAGGCTGAAGCTGACCAACGAAGAGATCCGCAAAGCCATCCTGACCATGGATGAACAAGAAGACTTACCTAAAGACATGCTGGAGCAGGTGCCCCAAAATACACATACACAAACTAATAACATACATGCTCTGCACTATGTCCTTTGTCATTTTTAACATACTGTGGGAAATACAATAGCAATGTGGGAGGGGTATGTCTGATGTCCAGGGTTAATATTGTATAAGTAAAAAACTTTTTTTGAATAACTTGTATCACAATATATATTGTTATAGCAATATAAAGGTACATATACCATGAGAGAAGATTTCAGCAGCTTAATTCAGTTTTGGATTTTAGGACAGTATTAGATCAACTATGACCTACTGTATGTTTCTAATGGAATCATGGAAAAGTCCCTGCGACACTTCAAATGCACTCTTTATGCATTTTTCCTGGGGTGCTTGTCTTATTTATGTATTGATTTTTATGGGGATTGGTGTAGTTTGGAGCATAAGAGAAGGCCCTTAATGCTGATGTGGGAGGAGAGGCACAATTGAAGTAATGTTTATACTAATTAGGCAGAACAGTGCAGTTGAGGTGCCAATTTTGCCCCAAAAGAGCGATAGCGATAACATCTGCTCAAACCAATTCTCTTTACAACCGCAGATGAATATGTATTTTCCTGACAAGTATGTAGGCTGAGAAGCATGACATCAATAACCCACATGTTTTTAATAGCCACACCAACTTGAAATGAACCCCTAAACCCACAACTGATCTTTTGGAATTCATTGTGAACTAGGGGTGTGACAAGATCTCATGCTATGAGATCTCAGTATTAATATTTGTCACTGAGGCAAAACCTGTCTCGCAATATCAGTACATAACAGAACCAGAGAAGCCAGCTTGTGGAGTGTGATGGCAAAGTGATGATACGAATTCACATTAGTCTGGCAAAATCGCAACTCGCTCCTCTGCTTTAATGTACAAGGCTGCATTGGAGTGGGGGTTGAGGCATTGCAGCAAGAGTGCTGTAGAATTGATGTGAGTGGCTCCATTTATGTTTCTAGCCTGAGTTTCCATTGTGTTTTCGTTAGACATGCTGCTAACATAGCTGACTCCACTTTAGCACCAATTCTACCACCAGTGTGTTGGCACTGATAAAAAAAAACACAGTTTAAAATCCATTACTAACGAAAATGCATGGTGTGTCATTATGGGGGGTTAACTGTAGCCCAAATTTGACAGTGAGCAACAGTGAACACTAATGAGGTATACAAAAGTCTTCCCGTGGGCATCTACATCCTGATCATCCCAAGTACGTGATTGGTCAACACAGTGCCTTTGCTGGGTGATGTTACTGTCCGGTGCGCTGCCATGAGGCTGAAAATAGCATAGAAGGTCACACACAGCTTCAATTAGAAATTAGAAGCTCATGCACAGTTCAAAGGTCTAAAGAGACTCATGAAATCCTACAGGAGAAGAAGCCGGTCAGGTAAGTTTGTGGCAAAACCTTTTACAGTGCTTGGATATGTTGTCTTTTACTGCATATGATAATTCACATTCAGTAGAACTGAAGTGAAAGTCACTACAAGATGATTAATTAAAACATTTCAAAATGCACCTGTATTGATTTGCATTTTGTGACTTTGAGTAAAAAAAAAAACGCTATTTTTCTAGTCGTATGTGACAGAAAATGCTCCTTGATGCACAGTGAGAGCTGAGCAGGCAAGGAGAAGTCAGCAAGGTGGAAAACAGGTCTGTCATTAACAAGAGGTAACAGGTGTGAGGATGGAGGGACCGTGTTGGCAGCTGGCAGGGTGGAGCAGGTTCAGGGAGAATAACCAGGTGAATGGCAGGCAGGAACTGGGCAGACGGAGAGTTGGCAGACACAAACCTGGACTGGCATCAGCAACAGGGTCAGAATGGCCAACAGGATTGCAACCAGGAAGATGGAGATATAGGCAGGCAGGTAACAAGTTAGGAAATCGAGGCACAAACAGGCAAGATACAGATCCAGACTACCAGGCACTGAAGAGGAAATGGAGACTGGTTAAGTAGAATAGCGAGCCCCAGAAGCCCCAAATCAGCCACTGATTGGCATAGCAAAGCTGGGGACAGTGTATAATATTAAGTCCCTTCTAAAATAAGTCTCTAGTAGGAAGCCAGGGGGGAACATGACAAAACATTACTTAACACAGTCATATGGGCCTGGAATTTAGATACGAGTTTACCACTGCCAGAGCTGCTCACAAGTCATTTTTTGAAAGCCCAAGTCAAGTCTCAAGTCCCTTAAGGTTGTAATGAGTGCCCTACCATCTGCTGCGTGTCATTCAGACCGCTTAGAACACTGCAATGCTATATCCAAGGAAGTCAAAGCATATACTGTACGTACTGCATTACCATCACTTCATTACCTATTAGCATACAGTATCAGCATTGATTAGTTAGTGTTTAGTACATCCCATCTATTTTCCTCCGCTTATCCAGAACCGGGTCGCGGGGGCAGCGCTCTAAGCAAAGATGCCCAGACTTCCCTCTCTCCAG